GTTTGGTATCTAGTTGTCAAGAATAATTAAGTTTTTTTTCTTTACACTTAGAGTGACAGCATGGTATCATGGATAGAGAGCCAGCTAGCCTTGGGTTCAAGGCTAGCCTCTGAAACTTACCAACTGTGAGGCAAATCAGTGAAATTCCAAGAGTTCTAGCCAACTAAGGTAGCAACCTGCATTGGGAGAGGGAGTTTCCTAACCTGCTTAAAGAACTCTCCCCACCTATGCAGATTGTGCCAAAAAGCTAACTTCTAGAGAGTGTGGCATTTAAAAAGTTCGAGAGAAATAATTTCATTTTATTAATAGTGCCAGTATTTTAATAAAAGGAGAACTATGGCACTCTCAAATGCCAAAGGCCCTCATGGTGATGGGCTCACAGCTTATATGTCCTTGGAAGAGGGGTATTCCTGAGGGTGGAATCATGTCAACTCTGTTTGGTTAACAATTAATGAGAGAATGAATATTATAATGAGGGGCTGAGGGTGACATCATGTCAAAGAGAGACTATCCCTACACATAGACCACCCCCAGTCTTGGGCAATCTAAACAAAGAATTTATGCCCCTTAGATCCACCTTAGATTAGAAGTCTGATCTAGTTGACTGGAGTAGCAATCCCCAGAACAGGAGAAATGTTAATCCTATCTTCCATCAGCCCTGTCCTTGAGAGACTGGACAAGGAAATACAATAGGGCAAAAAAGCTTGGGTCTCCCTAATTTTAGTAATTGTCTATTAATATGAGAGAGAAACAATCATTTCTCTGAAGAGGTAAAATGAATTACCCATTAAGATTTGCACCCTGATCCTCTGAGGCCCAAGAAGCCCTTTCCATAGCACAATGAAGAATTCCCATATAAGATCTCATTTTAGCCAAACTCCTTTGTCAAACCTAGTTATGAATTATTGTGCCTAAAAGTCTCCTGCTTTTGTTTTCGTATCTTCATTTAAAGAACAATTATTGTCTTTTCTCTGATTAGAAGTGTTTCTATCTTTTCTATTTTCATATTTTCAACTGGTCCCCCTGGCAAGCCCCTTTGACTATGGACCTTGGAAAGTTTGAGGAAATGGAGAGTTGAGGAGGAAGAGAAAGTTCTAGCAGTTTCCCCTGGAAGGCTCAGACTGGCAGTGTCAACTTTTCCTATCACCTTGCTTCTGGCCTTAAAGGACCCTGCCTCTATTGGCAGATTGTAAGGGAGAGAGGGCAAAGAGGGAACATGTCCGTACATACTTTTGGTACCAAGACTGCCTCCTTCCCCCAACAGTGAAATGTACTATGAGGCAGTTCCTAAAAAGCTACACCACTTGGAAGATCAGCTCACTAGACCAAGAGCAGGCCCCCTTCTAACCTCTTGCCCAGGCCAGACATTAGGTGCCTCCAGCTTCAGCTTTTGCCTAGGAACCCTCAGTTCCATTAGAAGCTCCTGCCTCCCCTCTCACCATCCTACCATGGCTCAGCTCGGCCATAGCTCTACCCCAAAAGTACTGTTAAGCCCTACCCCTCACTGCCTTCTTCCTTACAAGAATTCAGTGAGTGACAAGTAACTTAAATTTCTTGTCCTGGAACAAATTTCCCTGTCCTCGGGCAAAGTCACTGTCACAACACAATGGTTACTGCTCTGGAGCTATACTTAGAGGCAGGCTCATCCTCTGACACAAAACTTCTCTCCTCTGCTATTAAATTGTAACAGTTCTACTCCTAAAAAGTCCCCACCCTGGTCTTGCCCAGCATCCCCACTTTTCTGATCTTTTCCTTATTGCTTTGATAGCTGAAGTTGTGGGAACTGGCCTCCCAAAGTAACCTGGTACCTCTCCATATACATACACAAATATTCATGACTTTGAAAGTTTAACACATACAACATCAGGATATTGCGTGCACTAGGAAATACTGAATCTTATTTTCAAAACTTTAGATAGCAACCTTTGAATTGATTATGTTATTCTCAATGAGTGTATTCTGTCAAAGGTTATTACAACTCTGCATGAAACTGTAGTGCCTATTCCAATAATCTTCATGTTCTTTTTGCAGTGTCAAACTTTATATTTCTCTTTTAACTTGGTTTATTAATATAATCCTTATTCAGAAATGAGTTTTTGTTGGGGGGAACAATAATTACCTTTGTCACTATTTATTTAATGAATGTATTGAAAGACTCCATTAAATTATAAAGTCCCCGTTACTGATATCTTTATAATAGATTTTTAAAATTATGGTGTGAGCCAGTTATTCATTTCAAAGAAGAGACAATGGAGAGATCAGCACATAGCCAATGAAATTACTCCTGATTTGGCTAATGCAATATTCATGAGAATTCTGTGAACATGATCACATTTAATCCTAGAAAATAAGAATAAAAATGAACACCTTTAAATTCTAATTATCTCTTAGTTGGAAAGTTCAGAAATTTCTATTGTTTCTATGATTAAAATAACTCAATATCTTGTCAGCACAGGCAGCTAGAGGGAGCTAGGTGATGCAGTAGATAGAGCACAGGGCCTGGAGTCAGGAAGGCCTGAGTTCAAATCTGACAGATACTTACTAGTTGTGTGACCCTGAACAAGATCCTTAACCTCTGTTTGTCTCAGTTTTCTTAACTGTAAAATGCGGGTAATGATAGTTCCCAGGGTTGTTGTGAGGATCAAATGAGATAATTTTAGCACAGTGCTTGGCACATAGCAGGTGCTTAATAAATCTTTGCTGCCCTCCTTCCTTCCAACACATCAGAGGTATGAGGTAGAAATACAAATTCCAAAAATAAGTCACCCATATTGATCCTATTGATGTACATCATATGAATTTATTTCCTTTGTGGCCCAAATGAATCACTTCTTGATTTTTCTTTGGAGAAAAACAAAATCTTTCCCCAAGAACTCCAGTAATCAATAGGACAATAGAAATGATATTTATCTCATCCCTACATGGTTTTAATTTCTTCAGTGACGTCTCCATTTTGAAAACTTTTCAATCCATGGAGTTTGGGAATTATAAATATTCAATATTTTGGCCTCTATTAAATAATGTTGCTCTTCAGTGTTTATGTCTGGTGTCTGCATGGTTGTGGGAAGCAGTGCTTTTTATACAATAAATAATGCTCCAGTTCTAAGAGTTTATTTGTTGAATTTTCTAGGATAGTTTGGAGTCTATCTTTGCAGTATGGGCTATTAGTTTATTGTATTTAATACTAATCGTCGGATTGGAACTTTTGAAGTAGCTATTTTTTTTTGAGGTAGAGGTTATTTTTTGCATGTGTGATTTGCAATGATATGGCAGAAATGTATCCTTTCCACCATTTCTTTATACAAATCTTCATGACAGCCATTTTTTTCAAAGCTTCTTTGTTGACATATTATAGGTTAGGTTCATACTGACATTGCCTATGGAAGCCTTTGGATTCCATTATCATATCTTAGTTTAGCTGTTCCATAGGCTTCATCCAGAGATGAATCACTTTCAGTCACTTTTGACAAATCCAAATCCTGAGTTCAAATGTGTGCTAGACACTTATTAGCTCTGTGACCCTGGGCAAGTTACTTAACCCAGTTGGTCCCAGTTTTCTCTACTGTAAAAGGAGTTGGAGAAGGAAATGACAAACCACTCCACTATCTTTTCCAATAAAACCTCAAATAGGGTCAAAAAGAGTCAGGCACCACTGAAACAACTGAACAACAATAATGTACATACTTATGTATGTATATAGCCATACCTTAATTTATTCCCATATGATGTTGATGTTCTCAGATAGGATATAGAAAAATTAAGAAGTTAGTTTTTAAATAGAAAAATAGTCATGCTATCATAATATTCCCCTCCCTAAAGGAAAACAAACAAGTAAGTGAATTTCACTTTTTGTTCTAAATCCGAGAAAACAAACTTTATTTTTCTATGTCAGACATGAAATATAAACATGTGGTTTTCTTCACTAAAAGTGTTTTGATTTTTTTCTTCTATAACTAAATAATAGATATATTTTGATAGCTCTTTCCTAGTTCCTTTGTGTCATAGAAAATGATGGATCTTGACCCCCAAGGTGATAGGGTTAAAACATGAGCAAATTAACAAAGAGAGGGAGGAGAGGGGAGAGGGTTGTCATCAAAAAGGGTAAACACAATGCCATACTGTGATGAAACCAGAGAGTTTAGTGGACCAAAATAGTTCAGGTAGACATACTGGTCTCTAGCAGTGGCTGAAAGGATGTGGAAGCTCAGCATGAAGGAGGTCAAAAAATGCCATAGGCGTAGTATCTGCCCAAAAGAGAAATACTTCTTTCACACTCATTTGCATCTGTGTAACTTCATATTTGTGAAGAAAGACCATTGGACTGAAAGTCAAGAGAGCTGGCTTCTTATGCTTATTCTGTGACATCAGTGTCACAGAAGAAATTACCTGAAGAAATTACTTCACCTCTCTGGGTCTCAGTTTCCTCATTTCTAAATGATAGGGTTGAACTAGATTGTATCTAAGTTCCCCACTAGCATTTGATGGTCCTGTGAAAAGTGACCACATTGCCCACATTTGCATATACTTAAATACAAGTGGAATAAACATATATAAGCCCTTGCCAGTTAGGTGTAAATAAATGTTATTACTCTAATTTCAACAGTTATTAAAAAAGATAATTTCAAGCCTCATTTTTTTTTACTGTGGAAATGAAAGAAGGACATGAAAGGTCCTATGTATAAAGTCCATGAAAAGATGCCTGTTTACTTGGGCAAACGTACTCCTCAGTGGGAACCTCTGGGAAAAGAAGGCAAATTAATTCCCTTAAAAGTTTCTGATTTGGAATATCAATTATCCATGAAAGAGATGCCCCAGACTTAGCAAAATGTCAAGAACCTTATCTCCATGGTATGCAACTCTTCAGAAGTGAAATATAAAAAGAAGAGCTGTTGTTAGAAACACTTTGTAATACACCACACTGCATATATGTCATTCTTATCAAATAATAACTAATTAGCATTACTTCCTTCTGACTTCCTCTCCTTTCTTCTCACTTCTAGCACCAGGGAAAGATTGGAGTTAAATTTAATGTCGGAACAGATGACATCGCCATTGAAGAGGCCAATGCAATCATTAATGATGGGAAATACCATGTAGTACGTTTCACGAGGAGTGGTGGTAACGCTACGTTACAGGTGGACAGCTGGCCAGTGATCGAGCGTTATCCCGCAGGTAAGGCAGTAAATATGTATCTGTGAATGACTTTATGAAGAAAAAAATAAAATACAACAAACCCTATTTTGCGTCCGTTTCACCAAATTCTAGATATTCTGAGAAACCATCAAATACTTATTGCAAAGTTAGGGTCATTTGAATGTAATGCTAAGCTAACCTCTTCTGGACACAGTGTGTAGTAATGGCATTGCATAGGGGAAACTGAAGGCACACTTTATCTTCTGTAAAATTCAAAACATCATTGAAATCAGAGAAATGTAAACCTAAAAGACACCAAATGTTAAAGCTCTTTCTATTGATTGTTAAACATTTAAACATTAAACAAAGGGAAGGTTTTGACAAAAGTAATAGAGTAAATAAAAAAAAACTTACTGGGAAAATATCATAAAATGTTCTCTTGGAGGAAATGTATCTATTATTTTGATGCAATTGCTGAAAATCATAAAACATTAGGGAGGGCCACCAATCGACGATGACAAAGCATCTAACTATTAATAGTTATTCATAATTAGTTAAAAATAAATTTATTTAAATGCAACCTGCATTCTGTCACACAACCACTATGTTCACAGGGAGCAAGTGTTCACTGTTACTATTCACTTCACATGTAAAACATATTTGTTGTTTCAAATAAGCACTGGGTCAGAATTAGTCATTTGAAAATCACCATGAAGCTATTGACTAAATTTGTCAGCACCACACTATTAAAACAAAAGCATTCTTAAGCAGAAATATAAGCACAGATTGCTTTTAGTTATACATTTTCTGCCTCTTTAAAAGTTCACCTAACTTACCATGGCCATAGGTTATTTAAATGAAATAACCTGAAATATCTATTCCAAGAGGATTAGCATTTGATTTTAAGGATCTCCTCTCTCTATGTTCTAGTGCAAATTCTGCCCCTCTATGCATTCTCTTGATTCCCCGCCTCCCTCTTAGACAGTATAATCGAATAACAATCCACAACAATGCACAGAGAAGAGAAATAAACTCATTTAAAACCAAAGTGAAAGAAAACAACTTTAAAGTCAGAATTGTAAAGCTGATCCCATGAACCAGCCTAACATGCCCAGGATGATCAATCAGGATGTTTTTTTTTTCTTTGTCTAGTAAGTTAGTTAAATAACTAAAATCACTTTGCTTTCACACTTTAATCAATATGGTGCAGGCTATAAGAAGAATGATTTTAAAACCATCTAAACTAAGCCAGAATTAAATGTAGTTTTCTGAAAAAAAATAAACAATGTGTCATATATTTAGAGACTGGATTTTCACATAAAAAATAAGGGGATAGGCAACGTTTGTTATCCCATAAATATTTATAAAAGAAAAAAGAGAAGAAAACGAGAGGACTCATTGAGTTGTTCTGGAGAGAATAAAAGGTCATGTCAGTGGAAATTGTTTGTCACATGGTAGCTTGTAACTATTAATAGAGGATAGGGACCCACTGGAACCTAGGGGTGGCTAGGGACCCTAGAGACTGGAATAGACTTATTGATATATGATAGCTAGTTGGATATAAAGGCATAATTTCAAGGTAATCATCATTCTAATTCTGTGGATAAATGGGAAATAATAATTGATACTGGTACATAGAAACACACTAGAGCACCCTTTTATCAAAGCCTTACCCACTTAAGGCTACAGCATATGTTAGGCTATTTACTGCAATTGTTTTTGTTTTTTTGTTTTGGGGTTTTTTTTTTTGGAGAGATATTCCAGAGCGGGGGAGGAGTTGTACCTTCTCATCAGTTTCTAAATAGATCCCAGGGTTCTCCAATTTGGGGATCATTAGGCAGCCTTTCAGTGTATATATGTAAGTACTAGTGGCATTGTATTTTCTATAATATTTAGTAGTACTTAATAGAGTGTCATTTGGTTGATTATTAATAGCTTACATTTGAATGGTGCTTTATACATATTATATGGCTTGATCCTCACAACAACTCTAAAAGTCATTCTTTTTGCCCCCATCTTGCAGATAAGGAAATTAAGGCTCGGACAGTTTCAGCAACTTACTTAAGGTCACAGAGATAATGGAGATGTAGAGTGAGATTTAAACCCAGCTCTTCTTGAGCCCAAGTACAGCACTCTGTTCCTGATGCTGTGCCTCAATCTTATTTTAAAAATGGGCTAGGCATATTGGAGATATAAAATATGAGAGGTGCTACTCTCAGGAAACTTACATTCTAGATGGAGATACTAGGCATAGAATATTTATACATAAACATGTCTAAAGAACTTCAGCAAACCAACATCATTATTTAGAAGTTATTTTATTATTAACTAACCTGTGTGTACATCAGGATAGTAATAAGACAGTAACTATACAAACCAAGTTTAAAGGACCCTCTGCTTTGGCAATACCATAAAGTCAAAACTGAATTTAAAATTTACAGGTCCTGGAGTTCATGTTACAGTTTTCTGGAGCTAGCATTTTGTTGTTGTTGGGGTTGTTTTTAGTTTCATGCTTAGCAGTGAGAACCAGGATATCACTTTAGAAACTGGGTTTGTGGTATAACTATTTTTAATTTGATGATTTGTCATTAAAAAGACATTGTTACACTTTGGAATGGGTTACTGAACTGATGCACTCAATACCACGTCCTCTCATCAGAGGGCAAGAACCAATGAACAATCTTCAGGTCCCCTTAAAGTGCTTGCACTGAAAAATATAGGTAATAAAGGTTGAAATTAGCAATTAAGTATGGCACTCAACCTTCCATTATTGGGCACTGTGGTAAGCTCATTTATATGAAGCAATACATCTGGCAACTCCAGTGGGTCTTTAATGAAATGTGCCCAAACCATTGACCAGTGGCATTATCCCTAATTGTCTGGAAGGCTTTCTTACAGAAGCTAATTGTTATGAGTAGATTTTATTCTCTTTGGAGTATAAACAATTCTCCTGTAACTCAATAATCCTCACGTGTAGAATAAACATGGAATTTTCTGAACAGTAAACCTGCTTTCCTGAGCACAAATTAAAAGAGGGAATATGTCATGATGCACTAACAGATGAGGAGAAGCTCTTTCTTGGCATTTATCATTTAAACTCTGAGGCAGAATGCATCACTAAGCCCTGATTTGGTCCTAATTAGAGCTCTCTAGTAAAAGTTTTGTTCTGTCAATAAAAATAGACTTCTTCTCATAACACTAAATCGTGAAGCCTAACATCATTTTGGTTGCTATGCTTAATAATTTCTGCAGATAAATCACAGTTAACATTTCAGTATAACTCACAGCTCCTAAAAGAAAAAAAAAAGAAAGAAAAAACCCATCATGTAGTAAGAGGAACCCTTTGTGTTCCACACCACAATGTTGAATACTCACTTTGCCTAAACAAAAAAGTAAATAGAATTAAACAAATATTTATTGAGTACCTATTATATGCAAAGCTTTGGGGATCCTAGGTACCTTGTGAAAATTCAGTTGATACACCACCTCATTCAGAATCAGAAAGACCTGAGTTCTAATCCTGACTCAGACACTTAACTAGCCATGTGACACTGGGCAAGACATTTAACCTCTCACATCTTCAGCTGCCTCATCTGCAAAATGAACGTAATACCAATGCCAACCCCAGTGTGTTATTTTGAGGAAAAAATGAGATAATATGTACAGTTTTGAAAACCTTAAAAGTACCGTATAAATATTAGTCATTGTTACTATTTAAAACACATTCCTTGCCCCTGGGAGTATACTGTCTACCTAGGGAGAAAAAGTATAAACACAAAAGGTTAAATAACAATAAATACAGAGGTCCAAGAACTGTTGTGATGGATTATCAAATGGGTAATACAAATCACAGTATAATATAAGATCTTTAAGGGCAAAATATTTTGTTTTTATCTTTGTGTGATACCACCTTCTGGGTTTAATAAATATTGAATTTGTTAACCTGCGACAGGGCCTGTAGAGCTCCAAAGCCTGTACTAGACACTTAGTGTTTGAATTGAATTAGGAGTGATAAGTACTTTCAGTTTAGAAGAGGAAGAGATCTCAGTGGGCTAGAATGGTCCAGGAAGTATTCATTTAGAAAGAAAGCATTGATTTGGGCTTTAAAGGATGAGCTGGGTTTGGATCCACTGAGATGAGGGAGGAAATCATTCCAAGTGGAAAAACTCTACACATGCTAATGAAGTTCAGGGAATGCTTCTGTGGCTAACTGGAATCTGCTACCTCAGTCTAAGGTATGGCAAGTGCAAGTTAGTTTGGCAAAGTTTTCTTTTTTAAGATATTAAAAGGGTTAATTTACAAATCTTAAATGTTTCTATATGTGACGGTTGGTAAAATGTTCTGAATCTTTTCATAAATGCTCTGTGGGGGGTGGGACAACCAGGATGATGAAGGACCTTATATTCTTGCCATGTAAGTCCTGTTTGAGGAAAATAGGGACGTTGAGTCCAGAGAAGAGAAGATCATAATAGCCATCCTCTGGTACTTCAGGGATTATCAGGTGGAAAAGATATTATCTACTTGGCCCCAGAGGGCAGAGCTAAGATCACTGGGACGAAGTTAAAAGAGACAAATTTAGATAATGTAAGGGAAATTTTCCAAGCAATTAGAGCCCTTAAAAAGTGGAATGGAATATTTTCAGGGGTAGTAGATTCTCTTTCACTAGAGATCTTCAAATTAAGTGAATTAACATATGGAAAGCATTTTGCAAACCTTAAAGTGCTATGTAAGTGATGACGATAATGGTGATGATGATGATTTTCATCAAAGCCTTGATGAGCATTCATTGACTAAGTTGCAGAGGAGATAGTTTTTAACCTAGGGTTCACAGAGATCTGTGGATAGATTTCAGGTGGTCCATAAACTTGGACAGGGAAAAATTATATCCTTATTTTTGTTAACTTCTAATTGAAATTTAGAATTTCCTTCAATTATTTAAAGGGATTCACAGACATCACCAGGCTGCCAAAAAAGGTGCATGATATGCAAAAACTTTAAGGACACCTGGCCTAAAGAGACTCTTAAGTCCCTTCAAATTC